AGCATCGTACTTTCAAGGCTACAGAACATCGTCAGATTTTGCTGTACACTGGTCCTGTTATCTTTTGTGGACTTATTAATGAAGCTATGTATTTGCACTTTTTGTTATTACATTCTGCGATTCGTATTTTGGTAGATGTCGTTTCTTGTAGGAATGCAGCAGCCATTAATAAAGCAAATTAATGTTAACAATTTTTGTTCAAAGAGCTTCTGAGCATTATGGTATAGAATTTCTTTCGTATAATATTCATGGCCTTCTACACTTAACTAATGATGTAAGAAATTATGGTCCTTTGGATTCGTTTTCAGCTTTTCCATACGAAAATAACATGACTTATTTCAGAAAAATGTGCAGAAAGCCAAATCAGCATTTGCAGCAAATAGCAAATAGACGTTATGAAGAAAAGAGATTACAGCACAAATTTGTCATTTCAACTAAAAATTTCATTCAGGTTTCAGGTTTGCATAAGCATGGACCTGTACCTGCAACTGATTTCTATCATTATTCTCAATATCGAAATTTATTTTGTAAACAATTTACTTTATCATTGAATGGAAGGGATGATACGATAATTCTTAAGAATTCTAGTGTTTGCATTATTCAAAATATTATTGGTCATGATAATAAATATCATGTTATAGTGAAACGTTTTCATAAGACTAAAAATTTTTTTCATACTCTAGTGCAATCTTCCAATGTAGGAATTTTCCATTGTTCCTCGCTTTCTGATGAGTTAATAATAATTAATTTAAATATAATTTAAATTTAAATTATATTTAAATAAATATTATTAAAGAAGTAATTATTGCTAATAAATAGCATGGGATAGGGGAAGGGATAGCAACAAAATGATAATTTATTATTTGGGACTTCTGTCACTATACGTTTCTCTTAAATAAGTGGAATCAAATTTAATTAAAATTAAAAAAAATAAATTACGCGAAATACGCGTTTCAAAATTTATCGTCGCGATATAATTAACGTATTATTTAAGGTATGCAAAAGATAATTAATTACTTATCATATCAAATTATTTCCCGATACTTGATTTCACGATCGCGTTTCGAAAAAGAATTTGACGGAGTGTCTCGCACTCTACTGCCTTACTGTTTGAGTGTTGCCGTGTGAATGAATAAGATCGTAAATCGTAACACGTTAACAATAGCTAATGTTTACGCCACCAAGGCCGAATACTATATTATTTTGCGGCCAAAAATATTTTGCGTACTATAATGTACATACAAGCGGAATATTAAATTATACAAGAATATTTTAAATTATAGATCAATTATTTAATAAACGATTAATCTGTCACGGAGCTTATCGTTATGTTAATTACTGCAATTCGACTATTTTACTGCGTGTTCTCAATCCGAATTATATTTAGATCGTCAAAAAGTCGAACGATAAAGCATTGAACAAAATATATTTAATTTTAAGTATTTTTAAAGAAATAATTGTTGCCTAGAGAGAGAGGGAGAGAAAGAGAGAGAGAGAGAGAGAGAGAGAGAGAGAATTAATTAATTAATTAATTGTATCAAATTATTTCCCGATATTTGTCACGATCGCATTTAAAAGAGAAATTTGACGGAGCGTCTGGAAGAAATTTTGTCCGAAAGAATTTGCAAGAAAGCTAATTAATACAACAAAGCATCGTACTTTCAAGGCTACAGAACATCGTCAGATTTTGCTGTACACTGGTCCTGTTATCTTTTGTGGACTTATTAATGAAGCTATGTATTTGCACTTTTTGTTATTACATTCTGCGATTCGTATTTTGGTAGATGTCGTTTCTTGTAGGAATGCAGCAGCCATTAATAAAGCAAATTAATGTTAACAATTTTTGTTCAAAGAGCTTCTGAGCATTATGGTATAGAATTTCTTTCGTATAATATTTATGGCCTTCTACACTTAACTAATGATGTAAGAAATTATGGTCCTTTGGATTCGTTTTCAGCTTTTCCATACGAAAATAACATGACTTATTTCAGAAAAATGTGCAGAAAGCCAAATCAGCAAGAGAGAGAGAGAGAGAGAGAGAGAGAGAGAGAGAGAATTAATTAATTGTATCAAATTATTTCCCGATATTTGTCACGATCGCATTTAAAAGAGAAATTTGACGGAGCGTCTGGAAGAAATTTTGTCCGAAAGAATTTGCAAGAAAGCCAATTAATACAACAAAGCATCGTACTTTCAAGGCTACAGAACATCGTCAGATTTTGCTGTACACTGGTCCTGTTATCTTTTGTGGACTTATTAATGAAGCTATGTATTTGCACTTTTTGTTATTACATTCTGCGATTCGTATTTTGGTAGATGTCGTTTCTTGTAGGAATGCAGCAGCCATTAATAAAGCAAATTAATGTTAACAATTTTTGTTCAAAGAGCTTCTGAGCATTATGGTATAGAATTTCTTTCGTATAATTAATATAGTATAATTTCTCAAGCCGTTCACTTTCATTCCATTTCTATTTTCTGGAGCGTATTAGGTTGATACACAAAAAATGTTAATATGAAGTTAAATATTCTAAAAATAACTTCAAGTTTAAATTAATAAATAAATAAAAGCTACAGGTACTTACAATGTTGTGCCATCAAAAGATTGAGCTAGTGAAACTATATTTTCTTCTAATTTTAATATTTGTTTCTCTACTAACTGAAGAACAAAATCCACTGCATAGTTATTGATATCTATAAAATATATATTCTTGCTGAATTTATTTAATAAGTTTTAAATCTACGAATTGTGTTTAATCAACAAATATTTTCATTAATTATAGAAAAAATAATTTACTTACGTTTCAATCGATAGCATGTATTTTTGTCCACTTCACAACATATTGGTTCTAATGCATTTATTTTAAAATAAACAGCCTTGAAATCCATTTTTTCACTCGTCATTATAAGTAAAAATATATATAAAGGAAAATTGAAAAAATTACAAGAGGTTATCGAAATGAATGCTGTAACCTCACTGACAAAACTCGATCTATAATTTTTTAGTCTATTCCTCTTAAGAGAACTGCACAGTCTTTTGTTAAACATCACTCTTTTGTAAAATACTACTCGTTTCCCGCTATTTTCTTAAAACTGAGTTCAAAAGACATATTCCATTGAGAGTGCAAAACTAGCTAGAACTGGTGGCGTTTCGTGTAATCCCGACAAAAAACTCGAAAACAAGGGGGCACTGAGTGCCAGCGAGTTTTTTCCAATGGAAGACGCTATCAGATAGAACCTGCAAAGATAAGCGATAAATCGATAATTGCAACAGCCAGTGATTGTTCTTTTAACGCCAACAAATACAATATGATTGAGCACACAAATATTATTAATGTTTTTAAAGAATTATTTCAGTAATATAATATAAAATAAATAAATATATATATAATAAATATTTATTTTATATTGTATATTTATTATATGTATATATTTTTAAATATTTTATGATTAAAATTGTACAAACTTTAGACAACAAAAAAGAAAAAAGATTTTTAACTAATACATACTGAAATTTTTATAGAAAATTAAATCAACGTTTGGATATAATTGAAAAGAGAGAAAGGTATGATTTTATGAATAAAAGAGTTATTCTCTCAGGTATGTTTCAAAATCTACTTTTTAAACTACATGCACTTATTATATATTTATAGCGAAAACCATGCAATGTTGTTGCAATTAACTAAAGCAAAAAATAGAAGAGTTCAATTGATGCCAAAATGTTTTCCTTTTAAATCTGTCGAAAGTTTAATATAATGTAATTTGGCAAGTAATGAAATCTATGATGAAGTTGTAAGTATTTTAATTAATAATTTCACTTTTCTCTATGCTAAGAACATAAATTGTTTTCTAATTGAGAAAGCAATTTCGCTGCTTTATTAGCTAATATAATTTTGCAGTTTTTTTTTTTTTTTTAGAATTTTTGTGCACACTGACTTTGTTCCAGAAAATTCAAAGATCGATAAAGTTGTCGATATAAAGAAGTTTTTATTTATAAGATGTTTTATATTGCTGTCACCAGTTAGTTACCGTAAGATACCAACTGATCAATGTTTCATCAATCTGTATAGCTTTGCACTATATCATTTTGATCAACTTTGTAACCAAGACTAATTACTGCATGTCTATTTTATTATTAAAATTTTTTTCTATTCTAAAATAATCTAAAGTAAAAAGTGGATTTAATCTACAATGAAACACTAATGTTCTATTTCAATTTCTAATATTTACATATTTTGTTTAAATTTCTTCAGCGGCACGGTTCGGCATGCATGCGTGCATCGTACAATCACCGTGCCAACATTTGGTTATCGGGGTATTTAAAAATTAGGAAAAAAATTATTAAGAAGATTTATTTAAGAAAATTTATTTTATGTCACATTCGCATACATAAAAATATTTCAATAATAACTTATTATCGCTGTCCGTAATATATATTAGAATGGCAAAACATTACGCACAGCTAATAAAACATTAATAAATCTATAATATTTCTCCGCAATTTTGATCCACAATTAATTAATAGTTCCGCCGGCTCTAAAATGGATCTAATTGACGCTACTGCTACTGTATCAGCTAGAAAAAGTGTCTTATAAAAAACAGTGGCGTGACTTTCAGGCTTCTTTCTGTTTAAAAATTTCTAGTCTTGAGCTGCATTCGTCTTGACGTTGTAAGCAGTGAAAGCGTTTCGACCAATCAGAATAAAGGAATTTTTGCCCCGATTGGTCGATCAAACGCTTTCATCGCTTACACTTACAACGTCAAACGAACGCAGTCTTGAAGTCACAAGTGTTCGAAGCATATAATTGATCGATCGCAAAAAAGGTTTCTTCGTTTTGATCAAATAATCAAACGCTTCCAGCATTTACAACGTCAAATAAAAACGAAACACAGTCTGCGTGATCGAAGACGATCGGTAATATCCCTAACTGGTGAGCGCAAAATTTTACGTAGACTCGCCCATCTTTACAATGCCTCATTCGTGGCCGAGCTTACCGGCGTGACGTTTCGAATCGCGCGGGCGTCTCGACAACACAAGTGAACGCGACTGTAAACAAGTGTTCGCCGGGTCTGTTTCGCGACGTTTTCTCTGTGTTTACGTTACGACGGGACGCAGTACATACGATGGGAGTCACCGTGTAAGTAGAATTCTCATGTTTTACAAACTTTCAGAAGACTTTCGTCTCTCGTACAATCGACACGTGTCTCTCGACTTGCCGTATTAACTGCGCGTCTTTTCAAAGGTTATGTCGAGCATATGCCGTTTTGATTCTCCTACAGTTCATTTCTATTATCGCGAAGCATCTCGCGATTCGAGAATGTTTGTCGAACGCGTTTGTCAGTAGAATTATTTGCGCGTGTGATCAACAGGCTACAACAGTTTCCGATGACCGAGAACCGGACCGGCCCGCAGACGATCGAGTTTCTCACGAAGAGAGTCGTCGCCCTTGGAGCGGTACAGGTGGGACAGTTCCTGGTGGATTGCGAGACGTATATGTCGGTGCCGCAGCTTGGTAAGTACGTTTTCCTCTTTTGCGATTTTAGCGTCCGCGTTTCATATTTCTCGCAAGTTTCGTATCGTGCTGCTGCGATACCGGATAATACGCGGTATTTGGCATAGATGGCCGTTGTTTGGCCTTTTTCTTTAATATCGACTATTATATTAAATAAACTAATACTTGTTTTTGAATTTTATTAAAATATCCGCTTTTGAATTTTTTTAAATCAAATAGGGAAATTATGATATTTTTAAAAATATCAATATATTATTATATTAATTCAGATATTAATTATACGTATTTCTAATGAAAAGATTATAGAAAGCATTATGATAAAATAGAAAAAATATAATAAAATTAATGAATAGTAGTTTTTGAAAAAATAGTATAAAAAAACTCTATTATTTTATTGTCGAAAGATCCCATTGGTGAAGATATTAAATATTTTTGAGAAAAAACCTTATATAAAAAAATATTAAAAAACTTTTTTTAAAGAGATATTTAATAATATATCAGAAATTAATGTGTCTAAATTTTTATGAAAGAAAGCTTTTGCATTTCTAATACAAGAGATAGATTTAATTTTCCGTAAATTAAGTTTCATAGAGAAATAGAATCATATTTTTTTAATATTGTTTGAGAAGTTATTTAGGATTTTTGGGGGAGCAACGCGGATTAAACAGATACACATATTTTTCTTTCATCACTTGCCTCTTTTTTTTTTTTTTTTTTTTTGCATTTATACATGTGTATATATGTCTCTATATACAAACACGCGACTCGTTAGTTTTGCCGGAAAAGTGTCATTAGCGATCGTGTATGTACATCCAATACATTTTTCGTTACTTCTAGAGAGAGGTATATATATATATAAACGCGGACGCTAATAAAATCACTTAAGTACATCCTTATACGTAACGTAAATAGTAAATATATGTATATATTGCACTAGAGAATCTTGAGTGCATATCTCTTCTAAAGCAAGTCCGCTATCGTCGTATTGATAGATTTGTGCTACTCGTATTACTTTAATTAACGAATATAATGGCCGGTCTTAAAATTAATTCAATTAACAAAATCGTCTTGGTATTCTTGGGGGTTATCGCGAAAAAAAGAATAGGATTTGTAAAAGTATTCGTCCATTAAAATCTTCTATTCGCTGATAGAATCGCGCGCGCGTATTCTCGAGATATCGACGAACAGTCTTATTATTTCGCACAGAAATTATTCTAATATTAAAACGCTCCGCCGCTATTTATTCGCGTTGTTTCCGCATCGCATTGTGTGTGGAGAGGCAGAGTAAAGTATAAGTATTAACTCTACGAAGATACAAATACAGCTATATCTCTAGGCATCATTACAAAAATATTAAATCTAGCAAGCGAAGCTAAACGTGATTACAGACAAAGTTGGTGTAATATTTATTGATTTATATATTTGTATATTTATATTTATATTTCTTGATTTGTATTCGTGTATTTTCCATTCTCTTTCTTTCTCTTCATTGAAAATACATTTCTCGTAATTTTATTATCCGTGATGATACATAACATGACATATATATATATAAGATTTATAATCATCTCCTTAGCAACGGCCAGCGCTATAATTCTCATTTGAATATTATTTATTGTCAGTAAAATTGTATATAGTGGTTTTATTGTCATTAAGTAGAATTTTTTATACGTAAATTATACGGTTCTCTTTTCAGAAGAAAAGCCATTTTCTCTCATGCCCGGGTATAATATATCGCGCGTGTAACATATTTTGATTTTTTCCTAGATTTAATCCCTATTTTACTCGTAATCTGATTGCAACGTGCTAAGTATGCGTTTTTAATTCACTCTAATGCGGATCAATATTTTTCAATTTCGATCTTCGGCGATCCTCTGACATTTTCCTCGTGTTACGTGTGAAGGGGTAAAGTATTTCGTGCGGCGTATCTAAAAGCGGTTGTCGAACTCGTTCGCATTATTTTGTACAATTACACGCACAATCACACACGATTGTACTACGTCCTAGACATGCACACGCACACACTCGCGTATGCGATACAAATATATCAATTTATCGGGTTTATCGTGAAGACTAAACGCGTGCAGTAATGCGAAATCTCTGATTCTGAAAATTCCATTTTTACCGCTACGTATTTTACGACAAATTTTCAATTCACGAAAGTGCACAGTGCAGATTTTCTTTTTTTTTTTTTTTCTTTTACGTAATTTATAACGTATCTACGGGGGAAAGAGGAGAGGGGATATATCGTTACTTTTTTTTCTTCTTTTTTTTCGTTTACATGGAAGATCTGACGCAATCTGGTCGCAAATATATTCATTATGCCATTCGGCAAATAGTAAAGCTCGCTTATTCGGCGCGGTATATACTAAGAACGAGAGATAATTTCATCGCGATCGAGAATCTTTACAGTCTATGTAAAATCTGGAAGTTGATTGTTTATTCTACGGGCTCGTTTCACGAGCGTGTTGCCTCGCGCGTTAAAACTAATTACAGACTAAACAGTTACCCAATACTGTATCCAAGCCCTTGAGCATCATAAAGAGTATACAGTGTTTTGAAAATATATATACCACTAAAATATCATTTTAATTGGAATATTTTTAAATGTTAATAAGATGTTACTTTGATGAATTTCTTAAATGTTAATGTTAAATTTAGCAGATTAAATTTCAAAGTGTAAGAAATTATATATAACGCAATTGTATTTTCTATAAAATGTATGATTTGATTACCAAAATATTTAATATTTATATAAAAAATTGAAAAATAATATATATATATATATAGTATTAAAAAATGTTTTTTTGCGATAAAGTATTTCAATTACAATTTTATTAGCACTGGTATATATGTATATATATTTTTTTTTTTTCAGAACACTATGTAACATAGAGTTAGATATTTATGTTTGGGAAGGTAATATGTGCTTTCTTCTTGTAGACAGTAATGTACGATAACGATCGTATTAAGATATTATTCTTTTTAAATGATATGTTGCCCTCCGAATTTATACAATATTTCGACGCTGGTAATATTATTTTTCTCGCCTATCATATATATATGTATATATATTTCTCTCGCGTCGTGCGTGTATAAAAAGTGGAATGTACTTTACGAATCGATAGTTCGCGCAAACGCAAATTCTTCCTCCCCCGCATCGATCGATCACTGTCTACAAAAAACAGGCGGAAATATTTTAAGTACAGGGATCCTTAATGTATATATATATATATATATCTACAAATCGATATTGTCATAGTTAAGTCATTGGCGCCTGTACTACAAAGAGGCCCCGGAATAATTTGTTTTTAGCGAAAGATATATTCTACCTTCGTACGCAAAGGATATATTATTGCGTCTTTATCGATAACATACCGTAGCACATTGTTTGGCTATATAAACATCATCTTCAGCGTTAATAATTTTCTCTTTTTTCGAGGCTCATCAAGCGCGATTTTCCTCGAAAGGAATATATGCAAGCACAATTAACAGCCTGAAAACGTAATAGGAAATTATCGTAAAATCATTACATATTGATTACTTTGTAGTAGGATCAGCTTGGCAGTCTACGAGCAGTCGATATATCGATCCTATTCTAAGGACTCTGTTAATATCGCTTTATATACAATATATGCACATATTTTTCTTCGCGTAAGATATGATATATCGTGCTTTCGTGAAGAGTATGAAAATGTTGCTTCTTGATTTGAATGAGCTTCGCGAATATTTATCGGAAACTTATTAATAAACCATATAATTTATCGATGAAAAAGAAAACCATGATACCTCTGAGAAATAATATAAAATAAATAATATATAAAGGACGCGTTGCGATTTTATGTATAATTAATCTAACGCTAGTATGCACAAATGTTTTTTGTGGTACCGTGCTTTTGAATATTATTTCTTAAAATTGCCATTTAAAAGTGTTTAAGAATATCTCGAGGAGATATAGAATGCTAAGTAAGATATTTTGAAACAACAATTTATATACCGCGTAGAAAACCAAAGATTAAACTAACTGTCTCTCTGTGTAGGATATTTTCTAAAGAGATATCACGCTTTTTTCAGAGAAGTTATATATAGGAGCAACGATTATATATATAGATATATAAAGCTCGATGATATAACTTTATTATCAGTCGAGAAATGATTTAATTATTAAAGCCAGACACGAAGGCAATTTGTGACTCGGTTACTCAATCATTTTTCTCTCTCTGTATACAGATCTTTTTCTTTTCTTTTTCTCCACGAGTATCTGTTTTATATCGCGATTTATAGATATGTTATCATCAAGAAGATACGAATCTGACGAGGAAGGGAATTTCTGTGGTATATTCTACCTACTGGCAATAGATTTTCTAACTTATTCCGTGTTTCACAAAAATCCAGCCCGATTTATCGAATGGAAAACATATCCGCCACTCGTTAAATACGTCCGAAAAAAAAAGATTCGACCGACCGTACGGATTTCTGTGTGAGATCGTGAACCGTGCGTGTTATCGTTGGACGGTCTATCGACGAGAGAGCTGCCGATCGCTCGTTCGCATCGCGTTTCTCTTTTGATCATAAGTAGCATGTCTTGTAGTAGATAAAGGCGACCGTATCCTTGCCGAAAGTCCTGCATTCCCTTTCGTAATGCACCTGGCCCGGTTCGTATCTACCGTTACGCGGATATCCGTCCAATCTCGACAGGTTCCGACAGAGTCTGAGATAATCGTCGTCGAAGATGATCTCGTCCTCCTCCCGACGATCCCGAACGCGTCGACGGTAATCGTCGTCGGGTCTCTCCTCCTCTCGACGATTTCCTCCGCGGGAGGACGGGGAGAGATACGTGATGTCGTCGAGCTCCAAATCCGTTAAATCCTGCAGGCTCTTGGGATACGCGCGTTGCCGTCCCTCCGGGGAGTCGCGCGCTTGATCCTTGAAGTTGATGGTCCTGCTGCGTCGCGGTAGGGTCGAGTAATACAGCCTCTCGTCTTCGCCGTGATTGATGC